ATTACACATTAAATTTTTTTTGAAGTTCCCCATAGTGACCGCTCTTGAAATCGAGTTTATCAACTGTTTCAATGTCCCCATTTTCTTCTAGATAATATCTTAAAGCATATTTAATGTCTAACAGGACATGATCACTCTTTCCCAACGGAGGAAGGTACTGTATGTCAAATATCTCTTCTTTCCTGGTGAATACTAGATCCAATATTGACGGTACATCTCCTTCCCTCATTTTTGTGGCCTGCTTGATGTGTTGATACAAGAATGTCTCCAGAATGAGGTTCACAAATTTGCATGTCCAAAAGTCCTCCGTTCTTGCTTCATAGGTCTCCTAGTCTATTGCTTTGAAGTTGAAGTCCCCCAGTATCAACAGTCGTGATTTATCTTTATCTGCTTATACAATAATATTTCTCATGACCATTATGAGGCTCTCTCGTTTGTCATCCAGTTCTTCCTTTGTCCATGTGTTGCTTGCTGGTGGACTGTAGGCATTTAAAATTATCAGCTTATCGTCCTGATTCCAGACCTGCAATGCCATTATGTCAATATCTCGAGGGTTTTCAAATATTAACTTTCTTACCTTCAGGTGTTCTTTCACCAGCACAGCTACTCCTCCTCCCTTCCTAGTTTTCCTGTCACATCTCCAAACTGAATAGCCTCTTGGGAATACAGCTTCATTTCATATATTTCCTTTAAGTTTCGTCTCTGATAATGCAACAATATCTGGGACCTTAAGCTGAATTATATCTTACAACTCCAAAGTTTTTGACCTCTCTCCGTCTATGTTGGTATATACAACTTTCAGGAACATGTTCCCTTTCCCTTTGCTCCTTACTACCCCCTTCCACTAATGATTTTGTTGCCTTGTTTTTATGTATCATTTCACAAGCTTTCCAGTCCCTGTCACTTTGTAGAAAAAAAGAATTTCTGTCTTCTTCATTTCTATCCCCATTTAGACTTTTGCTTCAATTAGGTTCATTTTCAGCTTTTCTCTGTCTTCCTTTGAGAGGTCTTGTCTTATTGACCAAAGTTTGCCAACCTCATCACTCTGCAATTTCCTGGCATTTCTAAGCACTTCCATCATGTTTTTCACTCCATTAAACGTCACCCTTAAGGGGCGGTTCTTGTCTTTCTCATATTTTCCTATTCTTCTAAAATCACTGACATTTTCCTTTGAGCCTTCTCCTAACCCTACTATTTTCTCTATAATTTTCATCTCCTGCTGCTCGGTCCACCCTAGATGAAATTTCCTTCTCTAAACATCCAGAAATTATTATGGACTTATTTCTATCTGCAGTGTTTTGTACTAGTTTACTGTTGGTAACCAGTTCTTTCCTAATTGCTTGCCTAAGATCTGCTTCTTGTTGGTCATTTCTGGTTTTGACTTCCTAACACACTTCCATGATTGTCTCTTTCTCTTTTACAACTCATGCATACGTCTCATTTATTTCTTCTTTATACTCTTCTAGTTCTTTATTAACCTCCTCTATTTGAGTTGCCAATTAAGTTTCTAGTTGCATCTCCTTGACAAACTTCATGTTAGCCCTCAGGCTCCCTTGGAGTTGTTCACCATATGAGTCTATTTTCTTGTTAATTTCTTCAAATGCTCTACTCTTCACTTTCCATGCCTCATTGTCCTTTACTAGTTCCTTGATGTGTTCCTCTTGTATCCTTACCGTATCAGTCAAGCTGGTAATTTCCTTACCTTGCTGGAAAATACTTCCTTTTAACTTACAAAACTCAATCTTGAGATCTTCATTTTCTTGTTCTAATTTAATATCCTTTTCTTCGTAAATCTTTAGCATGGCCTCAATAATCACCAACCTGCCAAGAAAACCATCTTTCATTACATATTGTTGCGAGAAACCTGCAAAAGATTCTTGTGTTAGGTTGCTGTCCTCCCCCGAGGTGGCGGCCGTCTTTGCTGACATTCTGCTGTTTTGAAAGATCAACTTTTCTACCCAAGATTTTTCATTCACTAACACTTATTTCCTGTCTCTTAGTTTATTTTCAAATTCCCTACGCCTTCATGTATTCTGGGACACCACTTGCAACCCTCACCCTACTCCCCACACTTAGATAATTTGAATTATCCTGGAGCCTGCAGCATTGTGACTCTTCAGTATGATGATGCTCACTTGGCTGTGTATCTTGGTCAGTGCTTATTGGCTATACTGTTGTTAGGTGCTGAGGTGGGCCTCTGTCCATGTTCAGGTCCTTGCTTTTAGACTACCCCAGTGATGAGTTTTGGTACTGAGTTCACTTTTTCCTTGTTCTCCCTGCAGGCTTTTGTGGTGCCATTTCTGCAAGAGGTTGTGGACTTCCAGTCAACCACTCCTACCCTCCTGGTTCCTTTTCTTGGGACAGGAGAAGCTTGGATTCCGGTCCTGGCTACGACTTTTCTTTGTTCTTTTTCCGGAGCGTGTATTTTTGTTTTCTTGAGGTACACGTCCTGAGTAGTTCTCGTCCTGTATACCTCGGTGACGTGTGCCTCGCTCTTCCCTGCTGGAGCTGGTTGTGTTGCTCCTTATGGTTGCGGAGTCACTGCTTTTCACTTCGCGTCTCGCGCTTTAGTTCGTGGTGCTCGGTTTCCTCATTGGCTTCTGCCTGGGCCCTGGCTCTTCGGTAATTACCTAAGTGTAATTACCTAAGTGTAGTTACAGGATGAGAGCTACGCTCGTGGTGTCCCGTCTTCCCAGCACTCTTTGTCATATAACGCTTTGAAACTACTGACGGTCTTGGCCTCCACCACCTTCACTCCTCCACTCCACTTCACTCCACACCTTCAATCACCTCCGGTGATTGGCCTTGTTGGTCCTTCCAGGATCCTGGGGGGGGGGATCCTCCCAGACAGGGCGTTTCTGCTCGTCCGGGTTGGTTCCTTTTCGGCTTGCCGTTATTGAGTTCCTGGTTCCCTGGTGGCCGTTCCTATTGGTTTTTGCCAGCCGTGTTTGGGGGCTCTGCTTTCCTTGGTTCTGATCCTGAGGGGCTTCCCGCAGCTCTGCCTCTTTTTGCGGATCGATTCTGTCCTGTACGGGGCTGGTTCATTTTTCCCCTCGAGTCTTCGCGTCAGGGATTATTGTCTCGTGTTCTCGTCGCTTGTAGGGGAGCTGGTGGCTTTGTTGTTAGTCTCCCGCCTGTGTGCTTCGTCTCGGCAGCAGTGTGTAGTTTCCTGGCGATCCTTCTGGTTTTCCTATCACTGCGAAGGGTTCTTCGGTCTCTGATAGGGTTGTCTTGTCTTTCTCTTCAGGGTTGTTCCAGGACCATCTTCTGGTGTCGTGTATTGTTTCCTCGTATTGGGTGATGCTGGCGGAGCCGCTCCAGCTTGCGTTCACCATTGCTGTTCCTTCTGCTCCGTTTTGTTTGGTGTCTTGGGCGTTGTTTCACCTCCGGCCTGATCTTGCGCTTCCGGTCCTGTCCTGGTCGCTGGCCCGGGTGGTCTATTTTCTTCTCCTCGGTTGTCGTGATCCCTTCGGTTCTGGTGTATTTTTGTTTTTCAGGTCTCCTTCTCCTGTTGGTGTTGACCTGTAGGGGTCGGGTCGGGGAGTTTCCGGCTCTCCACTGGCGCCCGTGTTTTTCTGCCTCGTTGGTCCTCTTGGTAGCTTGTTCTTTTGATGCAGTCTCCTTCTTCTCGAGTGATGTTTGGATCTGCTGCTTCCTGAGGGGTCCTTTGGTTGCTGCTTGGTTAGTCTTTTGTGCTTTCTTTTGTTGTTCGGTTGCAGCTCTTCGCTGTTCTCCGCGCATCTTGGTCTCTGGGGCTGTGGACGCATTTTGGTTTGCCCGGATTCCCTTACTTCCCTCCTTCCTGTTCTGGGGTTTGGGTCTCCCGGGTCATTGGCAAGGTCCTTTCTTTTAGTCTGTGGTCTTGTTTTTATGTTAGGGTGTGTGGTGTTCGCCTCCCGGATCCTTCCCTCTTTTCCTTATCTGTGGTGAGGTAGCTTCGGAGAGACGACGAGGCTCCCCCCAGAAATCCAGCATTAAATGTAATGAAACGCCATTTTCTGGGTGAGTCCCAGAGGCTCCCCGGCATCCCTCCCTCCCTCTGGTCGGCGGTGTTTTTCTCGCTTTTTGACATCCAGCCTAAGAACTGATGGTTGGGTCGCCGGCGGGTGGGTCTGGGGCTCCCCCTTACCCTTCCCGGGGAGGGGAGATTGTGCAGACAGCAGCGCAGTGACATGATGACGTCATGCTAGTTTGCTAATTTTCGTTTGGGGAGTTCTGTCCACTTGTTTGGCTTTCAATCCCAATAGTTTTACCAGAATAGGGGTTTGTTTTGGGGCGCCTGGATGCCTGTCTTGGTCGATGGCAGACAGAATGCTCCCAACCACAGGGAGGTCTCTAAAGGCCATTGCTCCTCGTGCCTCTCTAGAGGGGGCCAGGTTCTGGCTCGTGGTCCCCGGTAGGGAAGAACTCTGTGCATTGACTGATGCCAGAAAAGTATACATATCCATTCAGCCTGGATAGCTCCGGGGAGCCTCTGGGACTCACCCAGAAAATGGCGTTTCATTACATTCAGTGTTGGATTTTTTTATAATGATTGTGTGTTATTTTGACCTAATAGAGAACTATAAAGATAAAAGTACAGTGGACTTTAGTTTAATGATAATGTTTTGGCTGTAAGGGCTTTAACATCATAAGAGATACATATAAAATTAGTTCTTGTATGGAGACTGAACAAAGGAGGGGTGAGGGCACACATTGTCCCGGGAGTGCATAGAATAAGTCACAATAATGTGACTGAAAATAAATAACCCAACCCACACACATGAAAACAAAAGAAAGCGATGTTTTAGCCCAATGTGACGTGATAACAGTACAGAACACTCTCAAATGTTGTTGCTTTCTTTTCATATGTGGGTTGGGGGTATTTCCTTGATTTTTCTTAAACATTTTATATTTTCCTATTATTTACTTGTAATTATGTATTCTTATATAATAATAATAATAATAATAATAATAATAATAATAATAATAATAATAATAATAATATATTTTTGTTACAGGTGATGCTTCGAGGTGATGTTTTAAATCATCCTTATGGATTAGCTTATTATAATGGCTTCATATATTGGTCGGAGTTCCAGAATGGTACAATAAAGCGTGTGAAGCTTCAGAGTCAAGAGTCACCCGAGGAACTGCGTATAGAAAATCCTTATATATTTGACCTGAAGATTTTCTCGAACACCAGTCAAAGTGGTAAAATTATTTTGTTTTTATAGAATAATAGTTTAGGTTCTGTAATTCAAACAAAACTTACTCATATTGATTTATTTTGTTAGTGGATCAATCGTAATGTTATCTGCACATTGGAACCTCAAGTGACGGGCGCGCCACTCGGCGAAAATTTGTCTCAATTGACAAGCTTTTACTTGATTACCGAGAAAAGCACATGGAGCTTCCTAGCGTTCCTGCTGGTTCTCACAAATTGTCGAACACCTCCGACGATGCAAATAAAGTTTTTTGTGTTTTAAAGATGCTAATGATGCTGGGATGGAAAGGGGTGACTGCTGTAATGTTGCAAAGCATTGATTTTTGTTTTTTAGACAAAATTACAAAAAATTTACAATTGAAAAAAAACAAATGTCAAAAAGGTTCGTTCAGTGAATTTCAGGTAAGCTGCTACATTTTCTAAAAAAAAAAGAATGAAAAATAAAAAAAATAAAAATTGGAAGAATAAGAAAAAATGTCAAAGGTTTGTTCAGTGATTGTCAGGTAGGCAGCTCCATTTCGTATAAAAAAAATAAAAAAAACAAAAAAACCTGCACAGCACCCTTTGCCCCGTACCAGTGCAAACTGCCTCTTACCCTAAGGTAAACAATGGAGACAAAACACCCTAACACCCAAAGGGTGGCCAAAAAACCGAGCAGTTAAACAGCCCAGCAGAGGCAGGACCCAAGGAACTTTTGGAAGGGAACCCCAGGCACCAAGGGCAGTACTTACAAGGCACCTAGGGAAGGTAACCCTAGGTGCATGCAGTCCGAGTTCTGTAAAATAACTCTTGGCTCTCGTACCCCTGGAAGACAGCTACCACACACGAAGCACATTGCTGAAAGACCACTGGAGCCAGAGCACATGACCTCTGCCTCTAGCATCAGCCTTAGAACTGATGGGTGGATCGCTATCACTAGGGTCTGGATCTCTCCATTCCTCCTTCCGGCGAGGGGGGAGCTGCGCAGACAGTAGCGCGGCGACGTGTGATGTCATGCTTGTTTGCTCGTCACTTTTAGGGAAGTTCTATCCACTTGTTCGGCTTTTGGTAGCAATAATTTCACCAGAATAGGGGTTTGTTTTGGGATGCTTACCTTTCTGGGTGCCTGACCCAGTCGATGACAGACATAGAATGCTTCCAACCACACGGGGGTTTCTATAGGCCATTGCTCCCCATGCCTCTCTGAGGGGGGCCAGGTTCTGGCTCGTGGTCCCCGGTAGGCCCACAGAACTCCATACACATGACTTATGCCAAAGTCTGACATTATCATATCAGCCTGGATAAGCTCCAGGGAGCCTCTGGGTCTCACTCAGAAAATGGCATTTCATTACTTTCAACGCTTTTTTTTTTCGTTTTGTTTTTTATACAAAATGGAGACATACACTGAATGAATATTTTTCTATAAGAAATGAAAAACTTAAAAAAATTGAACAAATTTGAAAAAAGAAAAAATGTTATAAAGGTTTGTTCAGTGTATGTCAGGTAGGCTGCTCCATTATGTAAAAAATCGAATATCATATTGATGTGTTTCGGCGGTAGAACGGATTAATTTTATTTCCATTATTTTAAATGGGGAAATTTCTTTTGAAAGACGAGCGTTTCACATGACGAGCTCGGTGCCCTAAATTCGTTAATTGAGGTTCCACTGTACTGTATATGGTTATTTATGTTTACATTTTATTAAATATCCTCTAACCTGTGGAGACAAGTTTTGGCGAATGTACTAAAGTGAAGAAACTAGAATTCCGTTAAATATTTCAATTTGTATACAAATAAGTGAGTTTAATATAATTTATTTATGTTGCACAGTACAGTATGTGACAAACTCTATACTAATTAAATTTTGTGCTGTGACATATAGTAAGGCCTCAATTTCCATGAGGGATTAACTTAGGCAGACCAGCATGTAAATTGTAACTTTAAATATTAAAGTTATCAGTGGTACAACTGTCATTGTCCTGCCCTCACTGTCTTCACCATCACAACAACATCAGTGGTACAACTGTCAGTGTCCTGCCCTCACTCTCTTCACCATCACAACAACATCAGTGGTACAACTGTCAGTGTCCTGCCCTCACTGTCTTCACCATCACAACAACATCAGTGGTACAACTGTCAGTGTCCTACTCTCACTGTCTTCACCATCACAATAACATCAGTGGTACAACTGTCAGTGTCCTGCCCTCACTGTCTTCACCATCACAATAACATCAGTGGTACAACTGTCAGTGTCCTGCCCTCACTGTCTTTACCATCACAATAACATCAGTGGTACAACTGTCAGTGTCCTACCCTCACTGTCTTCACCATCACAACATCATCAGTGGTACAACTGTCAGTGTCCTACCCTCACTGTCTTCACCATCACAACAACATCAGTGGTACAACTGTCAGTGTCCTGCCCTCACTGTCTTCACCATCTCCACAAACATTTATCAATAGTGTTTCTACAGCTCCAAGTCTCTATGCCCTACCTGCACTTTCAGAAATGGCTTTTTAAAATTATACTGCATATGCAAAATTATGTGTGTCAAGTGCATGGAAGACATTGTTATGGTCATACGGTATTCAGTATTTGAGTTAATGCACTTAATCAGCTATTTTTAATCACAGATACAAACGAATGTACAAAAGGAAGCATCCAGTGCGTGGATCTCTGCCTTGCAACACCTGACGGCCCAATCTGTGCTTGCGCAACTGGGTATGAGCCAGATAGTCAACAGAAAAACCTTTGTAATCCAATTACTAACTTTACTCAGGTATTTTTAATATTTTTATTTTTTATTTTATTTTAGGATATATCAAAGCTAGGGTAACATTGTGGTGGAGGTGTGTATGATTCTGACCTCTGGTGATGGGCAGTGAAGATGGCCAGGCTGGTAAATGAATAGTTAGCGAGAGCTTTTCCTTAATGTTCAAGCATGTTGCCATGGGAGGGTGGTGAAGGGCTTTAGACTTTATTATGAATGTACCTTTTGTTGATGGTACTGGCCTGGAGTGAGGTATATTCCAATGACTCCTGGCATCTTTTATTAATTTCTGTAGTCAGGAACAGGTAGCCTGCACCTAGGCTCATCTAGGTCCTCTTCGGCTAACTACTGACTCTTCCTAGGATGTAGCCCACAACAGTTGGCTAACTCCAAAGTTCTTATTGACTGATAGGTGAACAGAGGAATCAGGTAAAAGGAAGTGTGCCCAATTGTTTTGGTTCTTCTTGAGGATCGTAGCCAGGTCACCTCGGTTGAGAACCAGAAAGTAGACAACTATATTACATGTACAGATATATACAACAAACTGCACATCAACAAACTGGAAAAGGTGCAAAGACATGCTACTAAGTGGCTCCCAGAACTGAAGGGCAAGAGCTACGAGGAGAGGTTAGAGGCATTAAATATGCCAAAACTGGAAGACAGAAGAAAAAGAGGTGATATGATCACTACGTACAAAATAGTAACAGGAATTGATAAAATCGATAGGGAAGATTTCCTGAGACCTGGAACTTCAAGAACAAGAGGTCATAGATTTAAACTAGCTAAACAAAGATGTCGAAGAAATATAAGAAAATTCACTTTCGCAGAGTGGTAGACGGTTGGAACAAGTTAGGTGAGAAGGTGGTGGAGGCCAAGACCGTCAGTAGTTTCAAAGCATTATATGACAAAGAGTGCTGGGAAGACGGGACACCACGAGCGTAGCTCTCATCCTGTAACTACACTTAGGTAATTACAATACTGTACTTTATCTGGCTATTTGAAGCAACAGATAACTTAGGGAGCAGCCAAGTAGCTATACAACTCACATATTACACCACTGGGTGTTGTAAATGTCATAAAACAAATGAGCTTATTATCCATAAAACTGTCTGTTAGCCTCCAGTGACTATGGGAGGAGTGAGGCCTAGCTCTTTATGCCCTGCCTCCTAGCCATATATGTGTGCCGCTCTAATTACTCCTCTCCACATTAAAGTTATTATATTTTTCCTAAAGTTGTTGATGGATTTGGTTTCAAGAGCATCTTCCTTCATTGAATTCCACTTGCCGACCATTTGTAACAAGTACGAGTATGGTGGTATCACACAGGGATGTCTTGATCGGGTACAGCCTCAAGGCTTGACAGTACTAGAGCAAACCTAATGAGAGTTACCAAGGGTCCCATCAGAAAGTCAATCTTATTGTATTCAAATCTGGGTTTTTGGCATTTCACTTTGAATTTGTAGAGAGATTATGATTTAATTCAGTCTATAGCTAAATATTAAATATTTTTCTGTGGAGAGCCCTTCCTGCTCCCCTGAGCTTACCGGGCTGATATCTATGTATTAGACCGTGGCATCAGTCAATTCGAATGGAGTTCTATGCCTACTGGGGACCATGAACCAGAACCTGGCCCCCCTCATTGATGCACGAGGTGCAATGGCCTATAGAAACCCTTATGAAGTTGGAAGCATTCTATGTCTGCCATTTACCGGGTTAGGCATCCAGGAAGGTATGGGTCCCAAAACAAACTACAGCTGGATAAAAATTGCGACTGAAAATCGAACTAGCAAGCAGAACTCATCAAACAGAAAACAAGCAAACAACCATGATGCCACCATCACTGCTGCGCCACTGTCTGCGCAGCTCTCCCCTCCTCGGGAGGTGGAAGGAAAGCCCCAGATCCCCCACGTCGGCTATCCAACCCCAGTTCTGAGGCTGATGTGTTGAGTGGTGGTCGTTCGACTCTACTCCGATTCTTGTGCAGTGCTATGCTCTGTGGTGTTTTGTTGCAGTGTGGTGGTGTGCAAACCAGAAGTAATTTAAGAAGTACTGGGGCTGCATGTACCTAGGGGTCACCTTCCCCAGGTGCCCTGTAAGTATTGCCCTTGCAGTTTGGGGTTACCTTCCATAAACTGTTCAGGAACTACCTCTGCAGGGTTCTTTTACTGCTTGGTGATTGCCCGCCCTTGGGGTCAGCTGGAACTTTCTGGCCACTGTTTGTCCTTGGGTAGGAGATAGTATCATCACTGACAGGGGCACAAGGTACTGTGCAGCTGTCTTATATTATGCATAGTGGCTGGGTCTCTTCCTTCTGGAGACATTGAGATTTTGCTGAGTTTTTCTTTTTCTTTTTTTTTTCTTTTTTGCCTGGTGAGGGGTCTGCTTGGTGTGGCTACAGGACCACTTGTATTATTTTGGTGGCCCTCTGCTAGGCCCTCCACATGATTGTACACGTTACAGGGGTTCAGCTTTTGTTTGTTTACTCGGTAGTTCTGGGATAACTGGTTAGCAGTACCTTACCTGGTCTGCCCTTAACAGTCAGCCTAAGGGCCCTGGAAAACCCCATTGGGGCTCATTGATCCAATGGATGCATCCTCTAAGTCCCACCTCGCTTAGTGCGAGTTTGGAAGTTGCTCTGTTCCCTTGTCTCAGGGTGGTTTTCACTGTTTTTGCCTCCGCCATGCTGCCTGTTGGGTTAATGACACCTTTGACTGGAAGTCTTGCGAGTTGTATTTCTTACTTGTACTCCAATTCACCCAGTCCACTGATAATGATATTTGGGTGCTGGCAGCTTCAGCATTGCATGTGAGGTTTAGGTTGCGGCAATGCGCTAGGTTGGTTGCATTTCCGTATGCCCTGAGGGTGCCCCTCTTTGGTTATAGGGACCTCGGACTTGGGGTGTTAGTCACTTCGACTTTGGTTCTGTCCACGCCCCCTTCTGTTGTTCATCCTGTTCCCTTCCCCCCTCCCCTTCCTGTTGCCAGCTCTCAAATGTCTGAGGGTTTTGGAGTCTCAGCTGGGCTTACACATGACTGATGCCAAAGTCTGACATTAGCATATCAGCCTGGTAAGCTACGAGGAGCCTCCGGGACTCACCCAGAAAATGGCGTTTTATTACATTCAATGCTGGTTTTTTTAGCTAGAGTAATTCTATTGCTTGAAATTAATAATAATTTTAAATTGTTGAGCATTTTAAACAAAATTTAAATTGTAGAACATTTTAAATATTTTCAGCCAAGCCTATGCAGCGAAGGCCAATTTCAGTGCAAGAAGAATTTACGGTGCATTGACGAACGTTACCTGTGTGATGGTGACAATGACTGTTTGGACAACAGTGATGAGGACACGTCATCGGGGGGAGTTTGTGGTAATGCATCATACACCATATTGTGATAGATGAATGAATATTTAGGGCTACATAATCAACATGGGATCAAACCCTCGTCCCTAAATTCCTCAAGGGAATTTGACTTATCATCTGCATATATGTTTCAAATTTCAAAAATACATTTTGTCATGTTATCTCAATTTTAATATACAAAAATTGGCCAGTAAATAACACTTATTGTGACGTTTATGATTTTTGACCTTTCATATTCTTATCAAGTCACTCTGCAGTAGGGTAACATGGTAGGCAGTGGTAGGTGATATAAGGAGTTGAAACTTACTGCCAACAATCAGAATTTTTTTTTAAACCTCTCTATTGAGTGCTTTCATATAATCAATCCATCCACACTATTCTATTAGAAATAAAGTTAAACGGTTAAACAGTAAAACATTTTTGAGGACAAGATTCAAACCTGCAGGATCCTTCCTTCCTAAACATGTCACATTTCTCATATGATTAGGATGGGGTTCAGTGTGTGCTGGTATTCCCAGACTGGAGGAACTTCATATGTATGGTAAACTGTATTTCATTACATATATACTACATCGGTCTTTAGGGAGAATAAACCAAATTGAATTAATATTTTCTGTGGGGAGCCCCTACGGCTTCCTGGAACTTATAGGGCTAATGTATTTTATATTAGACCGGGACATTAGCTATGGAGTTCAGACCTACCAGGGACCAGCGCCACAACCTGGCCCCTTCAGAGAGGTTGCAGGGAGCAATGGCCCTGGAAAACCCCCCAGTGTTTGGGGTTTTTCCTTATTTGTCATTGACTGGGGTTAGGCACCCAGAAAGGTAGGCATAACAAAACAAACCTCACATGGTAAGAAACTGACAAAAAAAAATTAACAGAGATGTAAAACTCTCTACAATCCCAAGGAAACAAGCAAACAAGCAAACGTAACACACTACTGCCGCGCCGCTCATCCGCGCAACCCTCCCCTCCTTGAGAGGGGGAGGGGGGCCCCGGACCTCACCGCGTCAGCTACCTAGCACTCCAGTTCGTAAGCTAATGTCAACAGGGACAGACGCTTCTCTGGCCTCAGTTTCCTAGGCGGTGTTTGCCTTTGTGGTGCTTACTGCCGTGTTTTGTGTTGTGTGGTGGCCAGGTGTTCCTCATCAGTACCGGGGCTACATGTGCTTAGGGGCTTTCTTTCCTAAGCGCCCTGTGAGTACTGCCCCTGCGTGCCGGGGTTATCTTCCCTAGGGCGTTCGGGATCCAATCCCGTAGGGGTTCTTGCTGCTCGGCATTTGCCTCGCCCTTGGGGCCAGCTGGGGCTTGGGGCCCTTCTTTGACCTTGGGTAGGGACTGGTATTGTGCTGGTTAGGGCATCAAGGTGTTGTGCGACCTGCTACCTACGCGGCGGCCATTTCCTGTGGCCTCTGGGGACGGTGTACTTCTGCGGGGGTTTTTCTTTTGTTTTGTATTTTCATTTGCCTGGTGGGGGTCTGCCTAGTGTGGCTATAGTTCCACTTGTAGTGTTTGGTGGCCCTCTGCTAGGCCCCCATGATTGTACACGTTGCAGGGGTTTTCAGTGTTGGCATCTACCCCTTTTTAGCTTGGGGTGTTAACCGGTTAGCAACACCTAACCCGGGCTTTCCGTAGCAGTCAGCCTACGAGCCCTGGAAACCCCTGTTGGGGCTCGGTGGACCACTGAATGTGTCTTCTGGGTTTCAACCCGTCTTGTGCGGGTTCGTTAGTTGCTGTGCCCTTGTCTCAGGGTGATAGTTGCCACTTTTACCTCCGTCATGCTGCCTGTTGGGTCACTGACACCTTGACCCGAAGTCTTGCGAGAGATTCTCTGCTTGTTCTCCAGTACTCTCCTGATGTTCTTACTGTTTAGAGTACAGGCGTCATCCGCGTTGCAAGCTCGGTTTAGGTTGCTGCAACACACTAGGTTGGTTTCCCATCTGGATGCCCTGGGGCCGCCCCGTTTTGGTCATGTGCTGTTCGCCCCTTTCCCCTCCCTGTCCCCGGCTCCTGACCATATGCGGGTTTCGGGGTCGGGGCGGAGTTTAGTAGGTACCAAGACTCGGGTGACTTTGAGGGCTGCTCCATTCGGATTGGGGACAGTGGTTTTCGAGCCTGTTCCTCCTGCCATGGCGTCTGCGTCTTACCAACGACCTTTTCTTTGCTGCCTTTCCCCCCTGAACTCTTCCTTTCTTTAAGGGTAGAGGGTGTGGAGGATGGCTCTTTCCCGGGGCCTCTGTTGCGAGTTCCTGGGGTTGTGGAGGATGCCTGCTAGCAGTTCTGGGGCTGTTTGCCCCTGCCTGGGTTTTCTGCTTCTGGGGGGGGGGGGGTTCGTCTCTCTCATCTGCTCACTTCATTCATTTGCAGGCGTGGTTTTGGATCTATTGCATCGGTCACGACTCCTTGTTTCGTAGCCATTTTCTTTTCTGCGGGTTGCCCTGCTTGGCCACCTGGGTGGCACTGCTGTTTGTTTACCGGTGCCTGGGGTGTGCGAGCTTGCTTTTTGAGTGAGTATTTTCACCTCTTTCAGGCATTTTATCCTCCTGTTGCTATTTCTTTGTTTTTCTGGGGTGTTCCTCCCATCTTCTGTTCTTCTGGGAACGCTTGGGTGTTTGTTTTTACACCAGGTTTTGTGTTTTCTGTCTGTTTGGGTCTGGGCCCTGAAGTTTGGGCTACGTGTCTCTGTTTATGCTTGCTTGCACACACCATGTCCCTTGGTTTTCGGTCCATTTTGGTCGTTTCACTGGAGGTTCTGTCTGGGTGCTATGCTTTTGCCCTTTCTGTGGTGTATTTCCGCCGGCAAATGTGGAAGTTTGGGCTCCCCTGGGTTTGATTCTGGGTTCCTTTGGGTTCTTTGGTTTCGTTCCGGAGGTTTCTTCCTCTTGGGCTCCCCCACTTTGTGGGTTCAAAGGGCTTTGTTACCTTATGTGTGACTCAGTTCTGCCTTCTGGGGCAGATTCTTCTGCCTTCAAGATTGTTTTTCAAAGGTCCTATATATGTTGGCGTTGTCCTCTGGGGCTCGGGTCGGGGAGCTTCCGGCTCTCCTCCGGCGCAGGGATTTCTACTGTTTTGGTTCTGGTGGTTGGTTTGTATGTTTGCATCCTTCACCATCTTTTCTGGCGAAGGCCGAGACAGTTGCTTTCCGGAGGGGTCCTTGGGTTATTGATGCTTGGTTGGTTCGGCCGGGGGTGCGTCATGTGTTGTGTCCGGTTACGGCTCTTCACCGTTACCTGCATACCATGGCTGGGGATGCGCTTTGGGTTGATCTGATTTCCCCCATTCCCATTTCCAGGGCTCGGGTCTCCCAGGTCGACCGCAGGGTTAAGTCTAGCCCTCAAACCGCTAGGGGCCCAAATGGAATTCACACCCACAGGCGCAACAAAAAAAAAATCCAAAAAATTCTTTTGTCTTATAGAAGTATTAATTTTTGTTCCCTGATCACGGAAAAAATAACAAAAAAATCGTAGGTGGCATATTTTAGCCGCAATAGGGTAGGGAAGTGTGGCAAAAATGGGGCATTGGCAGAGCCTTCGCCAGACGAGGTCTACTCCGCCCGAGCTGTCAGATGGCAGTTGCCACAAATATATTATTACCTAATTATTTAAATGTCTCTGATTGATTTTTTCTTAGTTTTTTTGTAGTAATATTATTCCATACAGTGAATTGTGGTATATTTATATAATAAAATGTGTGAACCATCACTGTACTCAAAATTATGGTGTGCATATTAGTGATTCAATGATTATGTTCATAAAACAATAAACAAATAGTTTTGCTGTTGTTACACTATATACACAGGTTATATATAAGTATCTGCATGTTTTGTTCACCATAACAAACTACTAAGTTGGTCTTGTGAGTCAAAAAGCAACGAGGAGTGACCGCCAAACACCAGCGAGCCACTCACTGCCACTCCCTCCCTCAACACCACCTCACTCACCCTCATTCTCTTCCCACAATACTGTTTTTGCATTTATTCACTATACACAGACGTTATATATACATATTTACATGTTTTGTTCACCATAACTGTACATCTAAGCTTGTATGGTGAGTAAAGGCACAAAGACGTAGCTACTCACACAGTCAGCTGATCGGCGGCCGCCCTCAAGACCAGACGCACTAATATTTCTCCTCCAACAATATTGTTTATGGTGTTATTACGCTATATACACACATTATATATAAGTATCTACCTGTTTTATTCACCATACCTGTACAAATAAGCTGGTATGGTGCCCAAAGACCATAGTGGCCATCAGTAAACACCATGCCAAGACGTGCAGACGACGCTCTTCCCTCACCAAAATGGCGGCTCCCAACCTACTCCTCTCGCTGTTATCTCACACTATACACATGTTATATATAAGTATCTACATTTGTATTCACCATAGCGAACCACTAAGCTGGTATGGTGAGCGCAGTCAATAAATGGTGGCAACACATAGTCAGAAGACAATGCCACTACCCTCCCTCCACAGCCTTACTCCTCCCTCCATGGAGCACAGCGCTAAATATCACCACAATCCTGCTATTATCAGAATCCTGGTCAGTTTTATCACAGTCAGGGGGCTTCAGTAATACTATCACTGCTAAATAATAGCAGTATCATATATATTATGGCATTTGTAGGCGATGCTGTGGTCACAAGCTGAACAGCGGTGCTGTGAGCTCGTGCTGCGTGTGTCAGCCTTGGTGGCTTGCTTAATACTGATCCTCTAACACCCAAGAATGTTGGCCTGGATTTTTTTTCTAGGTGGCATCTGGCAACTATCGGTTGTGGCTGTACTATAGCTGCCCCTATCCCAGGCGGGGTGTTTAAATTATAGCGCTAGACACAAAATCATATATATCGCGTTTGTTGAAGCTTAGCTTCCAAACTGGAGTGCTGTGCAGCTGGCACGGTGAGGTCCGGGCCCCCCCCCTCCCCCTCTCGGGAAGGGGAGGGCTGCATGGACGAGCAGCGCGGCAGTAGTGTGTTATGTTTGCTTGGTTGCTTGTTTCCTTGGGCCAGATTCATGAAGCAGTTACGCAAACACTTACGAACCTGTACATCTTTTCTCAATCTATGGCTGATTTGTTTACAATTATTAAACAGTTAATAAGCTCCGAAGCACCAGGAGGCTGTTTACAACAATAACAACAGTTGATCGGCAAGTTTTCATGCTTGTAAACTGTTTAATAAATGTAACCAAAGCCATCAAAAATTGAGGAAAGATGTACACGTTCGTAAGTACTTGCGTAACTGCTTCATGAATCTGGCTCCTTGGGATTGTAGGGAGTTCTACCTCTCTGTTCGTTTTTTTTTTGTTTGTTTCTTACAATGTGAGGTTTGTTTTGTTATGCCTACCTTTCTTTCGGTCATGGCAGATAAGAAAACCCCCCAACCACAGGGGTTTTCCAGGGCGATTGCTCCCTGCAACCTCTCTAAAGGGGCCAGGTTCTGGCGCTGGTCCCTGGTAGGTCTGAACTCCTTAGCTAATGTCCCGGTCTAACATAACATACATTAGCCCGATAAGCTCCAGGGAGCCTCTGGGGCTCACCCAGAAAATGGCATTTCATTACATTTAGCACTGTTTTTTTCAGAGGCTGCTCAGTGTCATAAAGACATGTTTCAGTGTGGTAACAATCAGTGCATAGATGCGTTCTGGGTGTGCGATGATGACCGTGACTGTGAAGATGGGTCAGACGAGAGTCCTGAGGAGTGCAACCATCCACATTGCCCTGCAGATAAGTTCCGGTAATGAAAGTCCGAATGTTGTATATTCTGTAATTGGTCGTTTAAAATATTTGTTATTATTCGGTAATGCATATTGTGTTTTGTTTTTATTGAAGAATTTTATATATCATGCAAATACCTTTCTGTATTAACCTTTTGAAGGGTAATTCAGTAAACCAGGCATCAATCCAGTCATCCAATGTTGGATTTTCTTATGGTAATCAATGTCCACTTAGTAATGAGTGGGATAATTAGAGGATGATGTTCGGACATTTATTGCACATCTGGTTATAAAACTGAGCACTCTTTTGTTATGTTATGTCTGTTCACACACACTGCTATTTATGTCTCAGCTCACTGCCCGTCATGTCCCCAAAGTCTCTGATGCAACTCAACTTTCCCAAATCTTTATCACAAACCCGGTAGACACTACCACTAAGGCTACGCCTTAGGCAAACAAATGTAACTGGTTTTCCGAGCAATGACTGGGAAAGAGGTAACGAGGCCAGATGCATGCACAGATAGGCTGACCACAACCCATGCATGCACCAGGATTTGATGAAAACCTGTGCGAAAATTGCACCATGAGAGTTGCCAGGGATTGGTTGGTCAAGGAGTTCACTACACGGGCTACAGTAATATGCAGCAGTTGAATGGTGCCCATAACTCAAGAGACATTTCAGTAAACTGTAAAAGGTGCAAAGGCATGCTACAAAATGGCTTCCAGAACTAAAAAACAAAAATTATGAAGAGAGACTAGAGATGTCAAATACTGTATGCCAAAACTGGAAAATAGAAGAAAAAGAGGCGATATGATCACCACTTACAAAATAATAACAGGAATCAACCAAATTGACAAAAGAGGAATAATTGAAGTCAGCAACCTCAAGCAGAAGGTTGAAGTCATAGATTCTAGCTAAGGAAACAAAGGTACAAAAAATATTAGAAAGTTTTCTTTGGCAATAAAGTAGTAGACAGTTGGAAGAAGTTAAGTGAGAAGGTGGTGAAGGCCAAAACTGTCAGCGTTATATAACAAAGAGTACTGGGAAGACGGGACACTACGAGCGTACCTCTCATCATGTAACTACACTTAAGTAATTACATATATACACTATCAACTGGACCATGATGGGCTTATATATCATAGATATGTCATGTAATTGGGATTTCATTGTGTATTGCTGAATATTATATTTTTATTTCCGTTATTATGTTTCCTCTGATTACATAATGTGTTTTATCAGGTGTCAGGTGTCTCGGCGTTGCATCGCTCAGTCTTGGGTCTGCGACATTGACAAGGACTGTGGCTCTGGTGATGATTCAGATGAACATGCAGCTTGTGGTAAGATATGAATCCTTTTTACACTCAAGTTATAATGCATTCATTGTTTTCTGTAATTACCATATTTGCCAGTGTATAAAATGCAGAATTTTGGTCCACCACCAACCGAATATATATATTGTATTTACATGGGCAAAAGCATATGTTTTCTATGGAGAGCCCCTTTAACTTCCCGAAGTTATATTGGGCTGATGTGTATTTATATTAGACCGTGGCAACAATCAATCGAAGGAGTTCAAGGCCTACCGGAGACCAGCTCTGGAACTTGGAACCCCTCAGAGAGACACAAGGAGTAAGGGCTTATAGATAACCCCCATGTAATTCAAAGCAGTCTATGTCTACCATCTACTAGGTCAGGCACTCAGAAAGGTAGGAATTCCGAAATATACTACAGCTGGTTAAAAATTGCAAACCTAAATCGAACTAGCAAGCAGAACTCCCCAATCAAAAACAAGCAAACAAGCATGATGTTATCACAGCTGCTGCGCTGCAGTAGGACTAACAACCTCAAGTCCGGGTCCCCTATAACCAAAGCGGGGCAGCTGCAGGGCATCTGGAAGTACAATTACCCTAGAGCGCTGCAGCAACCTAACCACGCATGCAACTCAGGTACTGCCTGCACCCAATCAACAGTATTATTGGACTGGGTGAACTGGAGTACACACAAGGAATACTACTCGCAAGACTCCGAGTCAAAGGTGTTATTGACCCAACAGGCAGCATGGCGGAGGCAAAGACGGTGAATGTCACCTTGAGACAGGGGGACAGAGCAACCTACAAACTCGCACGAAGCGAGGTGGGACTCAGAGGTCTCCTCCATCGGACCAATGAGCCTCAATGGGGGTTTCCAAAGCCCTTAGGCTCACTGCTAAGGGTAGCCCAGGCAAGGTAATGCTAACTGGTTATCCCAGAGTTACCAAGTGTGAGATTATCCCTTTTCAGGTGAATAGGTTCCAAGTATCTATTGGCCAGATAGGCTCATCATAGGGCTCAAAGTAATACAGTAATTGAACAGCACCATGTGGGCACCAGAGGTGACCTCAATAATAATACATGTGACCTCAGTCAGGAAGGACTGAACTAGCATCAAACAAATGCTGAGGGCAGATTATACTTTAATGACTGACCAGGGATGCATAGAGCAGCTGCAGGAGTCCAAATCCTTGGCACTCCTTATCCACTGAGTCGTGGAGCTTCTGGTACCACTGAGGGTGGTAATCAGAGTAGCTCATATGGTCCTCACATCAAATAAATTTTTATTTGATTTGTATGGCCTTGAAAAGGGTTCGAGTCCAAGTAATCCAGGCAACATACAAATGATCACTAATTAAACAGAACCGGCAAAGCAATAACTAGATGTAAGGGTTTTGAAGGTGTGAACGTAAAGGCACTTGTAGTTCAACAAAAAGTTTATTCATAAAACTTAATACTAACGATACTTGGCAAGAATAATCTGATGTTACGTTAATGTCTGTTATGGCACTTGACAAGGCTAGGCTAACCGGAATCACTGCTTCCGGTTCAGACCGCTCGCGGTGCTAACGCTAATCTTAACAACAGTGGGCGACCACTCCAGATGCAATTACAGCTCGTTACGACTGCAGCAAGCAATACAACAACACAGTGAAATGTCAACAGACAGACCTATCACAGAGACTAGTCTTCCGTGCAACAATCAGTTAATTACATTAACACGATGACAGAAAGATGACAATTGATCCAATCAATTTCAGTTAAAGCAAACAGATGTTTACTTTACTTATTAAATCCAATTACAGTGGTACCTCGGATTACGAGCATCCCTGGTTATGAGTTTTTTGGGTTACGAGCAGGATTTGCTTGGAAAATTTGGATCCGGATACGAGAGTTGCCTTGGGATACGAGGGTGTTGATACGCGTACGGGCCGACCTAGCGCATGGTGGCACGGCAATCGCGCCTCAGTTTACCAGTGCCTCGCGCCCAGTGACTATCCCACCTGAATTCTTCACAAGGATTTACAGTTTTTTGTCGGATTTTTGGCCATTTTTGCATAAAAGTTATATATCTCGCCATGGGTCACAAGAAAGCCAGTGGTAAGGTTCAACCTAAGAAAATAGTTGTGAATAGAGGCAGTAGAGGATGTCCCTTCCTCATTAAGAAAATGTGTGAAGTATGGGAAGAACTGCAAAGTTTTGTTGAAAAAACTCACCCAGATAAAGCTGTAGCAGGCCGTTGCATTGATCTTTTAAATGACAATGTGATGTCTTACTACAGACAAGTGTTGCAAAGAAGGGAAAAACAATCTTCAATGGATCGTTTCGTTGTGAGAAAATCAAGCAGTGAGCTACAACCAGGACCTAATGGTATGCAGGCAAAATGTGCCAGAGAGTGCACTCCAGAAAAATCTTTACTTCCTGATGCTATAATGGAAGGGGACTCCCCTTCCAAACAGTAACACCTCACCTTCTCCACCCTCCTCACCATCTTCCATACGCCGGAGTGAGGTGAGGTTGAAGCGGTTTGACACTGCCTCAGGGTAGCAGGGTGAGGTGAGCAAAGCGAGGCTAGGCTGCCTGGCTGGGGGGGTGTGGTCACAGTTGGAGGTAGCCACACATGCGTGAGACGCTAAAGTCAAAAGTTGCTCAACTCCCACACCAATAAACGTGGAAAGCGCGTACACAATATACACCGGTTTACACACTAGCGTGGTATTTGCTGAATGCTGACTGAATCACGCTGGAATATCTTTGGTGGCACCACGAGGGGTGCTCCGGGAACAATGGCGTGGACGGGAAAACAACAGAGTCCACGCTTCCCCGTATTTCGAAGATTTAAACACAATCTTCACTGAAACACTTGGAAACACCACTTAATTCTTATTTCTCACAGTTACTGAGCAATAGGATGACGGATTGCTCTCGGTGAAGCCGATAACTCGCGATCACTTGAATACAGTCCAGTTGCACCTATGGGTGACGCTTGCTGACAGCTGAGACTTCACGTATCTTTGTTAAATTTGACTTCTAGCGGCGCCCCACTATTGTAGGATTCTGCAACTGCAGTGGGGGACAGCGTAGAGTCAAATTAGGCTGGCTGAACCTTGATAGACAGGAAAAGACCCCTGCTCTGGCCGGAACAGAGGTGGTCCATATCTGGTAGGTACAGTGTCACAGGACAGAATAACGCCTTGGGCGGGAAAACTCGATGCCGCGGCTCCCTTGATGCCAGGCACTTGACCAATCAGCAACAGTGAGGGCCTAAGGCCCGTTGTGCCGGACCCAATCAAGACGAAGTCGGCTGGTGATGTCTCATCACCGGCAGGGAACTGTTAAACACTTGAGAGCCGGTCCCCTTCTCTCTCTCTCTCTCTGTTGCTATGAGCCAACCTTACAGAATTCAGGGAAAACCTGCAACTATTCTCTGAGAATGGCTACCACAACGAGGGTTGGTTCTTTGGGATGCTGACAGCATACGGATTCCAAAGATACCTAATTTCGACCTCCTATCTCTTATAACAAGCGAGATAGGTTTTTGTGCACATCCTGTGCACATCTCAGAAATTTTCTAGTCAGAATACTTCTTTCTTCTACTATCTAATAAATGTAAGCTAGCTGAGAATTCGGCCAAATGCTCCCTTCTCACACCAAGCAAACAAACTAAAAACTGAACCTCTTCAATATGTGCAATCACGGGGACCTAGTGGAGGGCCACCAAAATCATACAAGTGGTCCTACAGCCACATCAGGCAAACCCCCACCAGAAAAGGCAAAATAAAAGAAAAAGATAAACCCTGCAAAAGCACAATGCCCCCAGCGGAACAGAACCGGCTGCTATATGTATATCAGACAGCTGCACAGTACCTTACGCCCCAGCCAGTGATGATACTACCCGCCCAAGTTCAGGCAGGAGTGAGAACAACCTCAGCTGACCCCAAGGGCGAGTAATCACCGAGCAGCAAAAGAACCATACGGAGGTAGACTCCTGAACGGGCTATGGAAGATAACCCTAAACTGCAAGGGCAGTACTTACAGGGTACTTAGGGAAGGTGGCTTTAGGCACATGTAGCCCTAGTACTCTTATGTTACTCCTGCCTCGCATACCACTACACAGAAGAATATCACCACTATGAACAGGTATGGAGTTGTGCAAGCAGCTTCAGCATTGCATGCACAGTTTAGGTTGCTGCAGCGAGCTAGGTTGGTTGCCTTTCCGGATGCCCCGTGGATGACCTACTTTGGTTATAGGGACCCGGACTTGGAGGTGTTAGTCACCTCGTCTTTGGTTTCGTCCGCACCCAATTGTCCTTCCCCTGCTGTGGTTCATCCAGCTCCTCCCCTCCCCCTGTTCTCAGCTCCAAAATGTCTAAGAGTTTCGGAGTCGGGGCAGGGTTTTCTTGGTAGTGAGACTCAGGTGGCTTCAGGGACTGCCCCTTCCGGTTCGGCGGAGGAGGCATTCGAGCCTGTTCCTCCTGCCGCGGCTTTTGGGTCCCACCAGCAAGCCCCCTTCATTCTTGCTTTTCCGGTGGACTTTGCCTTTTCTCCAGAGGCAGAGGGTTTGGAGGATGGCTTGGTCCCGGGTACTGACGTGGAGGATCCCGGTGCTGAGGAGGAGTTGACTTGGGGGCTTGAGCCCAGTTTGACCCCACTTGGGTGTTGGTACCTTGGCACGGGCCTTGTTGTTACAGAGGGAGGGGTTTCCTATCCCCCCCTCCTTGTACGAGATTGATATGAATTCGACTCCTCCCTGGGTTTAGTTCCGGCTTCCCTTGGGTTCCTCAGTTCCTTCCTTCCAGAGGTTTTCGGCCTCCTGCATCCCACCGAGGGAGGTGTGGGAGGCCCTTGCAGCTTACCTCCTGCGAGAACCGAATTTTCCTCGATAATGGTTCCTTCTTCTTTTGAGTTTGGCTCCTGTTTTCCTTACTGGATGTGTTACGAGATGTCGAAGTCTTCCTGGCTGGCAGTCTGCCCTTTCTTTTCGTTAAAGGTGTGGCATGTGTTCTGTCGGACCCGCACACATGAGTGATGGGAGTTGACTGCGGTCGTTCAGATTTACCTGGGGGGCAAATTTGAGCACCTCAATGTGTGTTTGTTCGCTCCCATGCTTCCTTGTGATGTCGGTCAGGTGCAGCTTCATGTGCAGGTTCCCTCCCTTTCGGCATTCTTGGTGCCAAGGATTTGCATGCCCGTGGGCACTTGGCTTCGGTCTTGCGCGTCTTTTCCCTGCTGGAGCTGTCTTTGGACTGGCTCGAGGAGGATGTGAAGGAGCTAGGTTTCGGGCCTGTGTCCGGTGCATTTGCCTTGGCGGTTCGGGCATCGGCTGCCTTGTTGAGGTTGTTTGTGTCGATTCTGAAGGAAGCGGTGTCTCTGTTCTTTGCTTCATGCCTTGCATGCTGACAGGAGGCGGTGCTCATCTACTCATTGGAATCTGCTTGGGCCCTGACGCTTAGATTTTCATCCCCTTTTGTCCGTTGCTGTTTGCAGAGTCTGCAATGGTGCATTTTCTGCAGGCGTCTTCATCTAGTTGATGGCCTATGCTGGACTTGTTGGTTCTCCTGGGGGCAGGGCTGTGGTGGTCCTGCCTAGAAGGGTCGTGCCAGGGCTCAGGGTTCCTTCGGTCCTCGTAAACCAGTTGTGCTTGATTCGGGGCTGGCCCTTCCTGCGAAGCCATCGGAGTCTGGTTGGCACGGTGATTGCTCTGAGCATCGGTCAGGCTCTCATAAGAGTCATCGGCCCTTTTGCGGTTTGCCTCGTTGACGAGGCAATGGGGGGTGGGTGGGAGGATGGTCCTGTTTGTTTTCGCCTGGTCCCACGATTCGTGGGCTTTTCGGGTCGTTTCCTCCGGCCTGCGGTGGCATTGGGTGACTCCTTCTTCGGGGGTTTGGGGCTGGCTGGGTAGGCCTCTTTCCCTGTGCTCTGTCGTGTCGTCCTGGAGTGGGTTTGCTTGGGCGTGGTCAAAACAATGGCATCCCTCAGTTGGGTTTCCCGCCTGCTAACAGTTCCAAAACAGGACTGTGTGGACCAGTGGTTTATTCTGTACTTGTTCCGTCTGAAGCCCTGGGTCTTTTGCCCTTCCTTTCGGATGACCACTCTGTCCCAGGTCTGGCTGCTTTTGGAGCCGGGCTCTTGGATGGTGTCCCTGGACCTCCGGGATGCGTATTGACACGTCCCAATTCATCTGGGGTTCAGGAACTGGCTCTATTTTGTCATGGGGCGACAGGCTTACTGTATTGTTACCTTTCTTTCGTTTAAATCTGGCACCTCGGGTGTTCACACACTTTACCGGGGTCGTGGTGACCTGTTTGCATCTGTTAAGGGTTCGGGTCTGGCTTACCTCGATGACTGGCTGGTCTGGGCTCCAAGCTAGTCTACGGGTCTGCTCGCCAGGGATTTGGTTCTTTCACAGTTCGCCGGGGTTCGGGTTCTTGGTGAACTGGAGGAAGTCCTATTTGGTTCCTTCTCAGGTTTGGACTTGGCTGAGTCTTGTATAGGAATCTTGGACTGCTTCCTTGTCTTTCCCTCTGGAAGCTTTGCTGCAGCTGTGGTCCTGCCTTCGGCTGTTTCTGGAGGGCTCCCGGGTCACGAGGCAGTTGCTTGAGGGTTTGTGCGAGAGTCTGAACTTCGCTGTACTGGTCTACCCTTCAGGGTCGGATCTGGCTTTGGCGACTGTTCTGGTTCCTTCAGGGACATCCCTTTCCTCCGCTGTTGAAATTGCTGGGTTTGGACCGGGAGGGGGCCTTGTGTCCCCTGCTTCCTCTTCAGGTTTTTTTGGGTTCTGTGCCATGGTGCCTAGGCAAGCCCTCGCTCGATGTGTTCATGGATGCGTTGTCTCTTGGCTGGGGCTTTTTGACCAGTGCTTACTAGGCCGGCCAGGGGCGGTCTGGCCTATCTTTCTGTTGGACCACAGCACGGTGCAGGAGTTCGCAGCAGTTTGGATGTCGCTTCGGAGGGTTTGGGTCGCGTGGGGTTTAAAGATCCGGCTCCATTCGGACTGCTTCCCGGTTGTTCATTTCTTGAGCCGTGGGGGGTTCGATGCGGCCCTTGGCTCTTTGGGGCTGGTCGCTCTGTGTTACTTGTCTGCTGAGTTCTCGAGATTTGACTTTCATGGCTATTCACGTTTGGGGGGTGTCCAGCATCCTGGTGGATGGCCTGTCTCAGATAATTCCCTGGTCCACGGATTGGACGGTTGATGCAAACTCGTTCAGTTGGCTCTGCCAGACGTACAGACTCCCAGAGGTGGACCACTTTGCGTCGGTGTGGTCGAGGTGTGTCCCGATATATGTGGGACTTCTTCGACTGCGGGGGCTATCGATGCCTTCAGGCAGAACTGGATGAGTTGGGGTTACCTGTACCTCTTTGCCCTGGTTCTGCTGGTGCTCAAGGTCCTGGCTCGCTTGGAGTCTTAACAAGGAAGAGTAGTCCTGTTGGCCCCTTGGGTCAACAGGACTACTACTGAAGGGGCCACCACAAACTTAAGAAATGAGAGAAATGAGAGCACCCTGTCCAAGGACCATGATGGCTCAGGCGGCACATGAGCATGCTAGAGGTGAAGCAAAGCATAAGAAAGCTTACGGAACACAAGCTGGAGCGGTTCCACCAGTGCCGCACAATACAAGGTGACAGTATTCGGAATAAGATGACGGTCCTGAAAGAGCCAGGAAAGAAAGGACAAGCCAACTGAAACAAAAATGGAAATCAAACTACGAAGAGAGAGGAAATGGTGAAAAGACCAGCAAGAACCTCATACTGTCGCTGAGATGAGGACCGCAGCTGGGACACCATGAGAGAAGCCACTTGATCACCTTACAAGTGGTGATACTCCCACGTCAAAATGACAATACAAAAAGACAAACTCTCACACCATGCTGTGAGGCCGACGGAAGGACTGAGCCCACTGCTCCAGGCCGGCTTTGCCTAATGCTCACTAGTTTATTGGAATGGATAAAACAATGGTTAAAACATAGAAAACAAAGAGTCGTACTAAATGGGAATGAATCTGACTGGAGAAATGTGCTAAGTGGGGTCCCTCAGGTGTCCATTTTGGGGCCAACCCTTTTTGTCATATACATCAATGACATAGATGAGAATATTACAAACCACATCATCAAATTTTTAGATGACACTTGATAAATGCAAGTCCTTGCATGTGGGGCACAACAATCCACCTCACAACTACCAAACTGACAGCACTACCTTACATCAGATAGATGAAGAAAATTCCTGGTGATAGATGAAGAAAGATTCTTGGAATCAGAATCCATCATTCACTAAAAGTTGCACAACAAGTGGGAGGGGCAGTAAAAAAAACGAACCAAACCTTGGGAATAATCAAGTGTACCTTTACCTTCAAGGAAAACAAAGTTCAATTGTATAAGTCTCTGGTGTGCCCCCACCTGGATTATTGCATCCAGGCATGGAGACCACATCTTCAGAAAGCCATAGCTGCTCTGAAGAAGGTGCAACACCGGGCAACAAAAATCATACCAGAACTTAGTCATCTCTCGTATCAGGAACAGTTGAGGGCCACTTAGCTAACAAAACTGCAGACAAGGCATGACAGAGGTGGATCTAATAAAAACCTTCAAAATACTAAACAATTTTATATTGATCCGGACACTTTGTTCAAAAGGTCAGATGTAACACGAACGAGGCGGAACAGGTTCAAGCTCAACATGCCCCAGTGTAGGATAGAAAACAGAAGATGCTTTTTCACCCATAGGATTGTAAACCTGTGGAACTACCTACCTGCCGAAGCCATAAACGCCAAAACTCTCCTGGGTTTTAAATACAGCTAGAAAAGATCATCAGGGCAAATGGGGGAAACCTTTGACAAGCCGCCAGCTTCCTATCCTTGTTGAGGCCAGTATTAGTGGCTCTCAGGTAAATTCAGGTAAGAAGAAAGTGAGAAAGAGGACCAACTAAGGGGCCTCTATCTCCATGAGGTTGCCACCTAATATGCAGGGCCTGGAGACAAAGGAAATGGGAGGAACCAGACCCTGAATACGTACCATGGATGGTACCCAAACTGCGGCTGAAGCCTCCTGAAAACTAATGGCATGCCAAGGAGGCTGGCAGGACTTCCTGTACATATTATATTCCATGAACTCATTTTGCTTCCTGTATTAATTACACTTTGGGAATTTCTTATACTATTTATACTCCATGTAATCTTTACATTCATAGAATGTATTATACTGCACTTCTTGAAATCATGCAATCTTTACAATACTCATAATTATACAGTAATCATTATACTCAACTCATTATAACATTGCTCATTATAACCTTGTAATCATTGCAGTTCCTGTACTCATTACACTGGTGCGTGTATCCATAGGTTTGATGGCTCAGAGTTACCTCTCCTGGTGTACTGTGATCAAAACATTTTCTTAATTTGCTTAAATTGTCACAAGTCTTCATTTGTCCAGTTATTTGTAGCTTATTGTTAGCTGTATGTTACAGAATATCAAGAATGTAGCGTGGAAGATTTTAAATGTGCCAACAAGAGATGTGTGCCAATGTTTTACGTGTGTGATGGCGACGATGATTGCCGAGACAATTCTGATGAGAAGATGTGTGACACATTCTGTGCCAATGCGACTGCGGCCGGCCTCCCAACCACACCATTCTGCAACAACATCTGTCTTAATATTACAGAACAGGTAAATATTATTTAGTAAAAGCTTATGAATACCAAATGTAAGGTTGTCAATTGTCTAGTGCCCTCCTGTTACTCTTCTGCATTCCTGTGTGTGTACTCACCTAATTGTGCTTACGGGGGTTGAGCTTTGGCTCTTTGGTCCCGCCTCTCAACCGTCAATCAACTGGTGTACAGATTCCTGAGCCTACTGGGCTCTATCATATCTACATTTGAAACTGTGTATGGAGTCAGCCTCCACCACATCACTTCCTAGTGCATTCCATTTACTAACTACTCTGACACTGAAAAAGTTCTTTCTAACGTCTCTGTGGCTCATTTGGGTACTCAGCTTCCACCTGTGTCCCCTTGTTCGCGTCCCACCAGTGTTGAATAGTTCATCCTTGTTTACCCGGTCGATTCCCCTGAGGATTTTGTAGGTTGTGATCATGTCCCCCTTTACTCTTCTGTGGTCATACAGAAGAGTAAGAGTGTGTGTGTGTGTGTGTGTGTGTGTATAGTTGGCTATTTGTACTCGCTAATTTGTGCCTGCAAGATCAAGCATTGGTTCTTGGATCCTGCCTTTCTAGCTGCCAGTAGCTTATAACAATGATTCCTGTCCTATTTCCCTATCACATCTAGCTTTATAATTATGAATAGAGGTTGCTTCAACAGCTTGCTCCTTAACCCTTAAACTGTGCAACACGTCATATGACGTGTTGGAGTACTACGCAAGATTTAAATGGCCTGCGGATACACGGGGTTCACCTCACCTTCATCAGGGCTCTTGTAAACAGACGCCCTTTTTTTTTTAATCAGGGGCAACATTCCTTGGTGTGAGGGCATCAGTACTGACTGAGTCACCAAGGCTGGTGCATGCAGCATGAGCTCACAGCACTGCTGCTCAGCTTGTGACCACAGCATCACCTAAAAAGTCAAAATATATATGTACATGCTATTATTTAGCAATGATAGTATTACAGAAGACACCTGACTGTAATAAAAATGACCAGGATTCTGATAATAGCAGGATTGTTGTGATAATTAGCGCTGTATTGGGAGGAGTAATCTTGGTGGGGAGGGAGGTCGTGTTGTCTGCTGACTCTGTATGACCACCTTTTACTGTCTGGACTCACTATACCAGCTTAGTGGTTCGCTATGGTGAACAAAGCATGCAGATACTTATATATAGCGTCTGTATATAGAGAATAAAAGCATAAACAGTATGGTGGGAGGAGAATGTTAGCGAGTCAGGTGAGGTAAGGGAGGGAAGGAGTGGCAGCCAGTGGCGGGCTAGCTGGTGTGTGGTTGTCACTCCTTGCTGCTGTTTGACTCAGCATACCAACTTAGTGGTTCGTTATGGTGAACACAAATGTAGATACTTATATATAACGTGTATATATAGTGTAATAACAGCAAAAGGAGTGTTTGGAGAAGCCATTTTGGTGAGGGAGGTGGTGACATCTGCATGACTTGTCATGCTGGGTAAGGGTTGCCACTATGCTCTTTGGGCACTGTACTAGCTTAGTTGAACAGTTATGGTGAACAGAATATGTAGATACTTATATATAATGTCTGTATATAGTGAATAAAAGTAAAAGCTATGGTGGGATGAGGAAGTTGGCGAGTGAGGAGTTTTTGAGGGAGGGAGTGGCAGCGTGAGGCTGGCTGGCAGATGTGGTGGCCACTCTTCGTTGCATTTTGACTTGCAATATCAACTTAGTGGTTCGTTATGGTGAACAAAACATGTAGATATTTATATATAACCTGTGTATATAGTGTAATAACTAACAAAGTATTTGTTTATTGTTTTATGAACATAATAATTGAATCAATAATATGCACACCATAATTTTTCAGTACAGCGATGATTCACACATTTTATTATATAAATACTGTATATCACACTATACACTAATGAATAATATTACAGCAAAAAACAAAGAAAAATCAATCAGACACATTGAAATTATTAGGTAATTATATCTTTGTGGCAACTCTCGCCTGACAGCTGTGGCAAAGCAGAACTCCCCCGACGCTTGCTGTGACAGCACCTCTTTCTGGGGAGAGCCCCTTTGGCTCCCCGGAGCTATTCAGGCTGATATGCTAATGTCAGACTTTGGCATCAGTCATGTGTATGGAGTTCTGTGGGCCTAATGAGGACCACGAGCCAGAACCTGGCCCCTCAGAGAGGCATGGAGAGAAATGGTCTATAGAAACCCCTTGTGTGGTTGGAAGCAATCTATGTCTCCCATCGACCTGGTCAGGCATCCAGAAAGGTAAGCGTCATCCAAAACAAACCCCTATTCTAGTGAAAATTGCCACAAAAAGCCAAACAGGTGGATAGAACTCCCCAAACAGAAACGAGCAAATGAGCATGACGTCACACGTCGCCGCGCCACTGTCTGTGCAGCTCTCCCCTCCCCGGGAGGGGTAAGGGAAAGCCCAAGACCCCCATGGCGGCCATCCACACCTCAGTTCTTGAGACTGATGCTACAGGCAGAGGTCGTGTGCTCTGGCTCCAGTGATTGTTCCAGCACTGTGCCTTGTTTGTGGTGGCTGTCTTCCAGGGGTGTGCGAGCCAGGAGTTATTTTACAGTACTCGGGCTGCATGTGCCAAGGGTTCCGTTCCCTAGGTGCCCTGTAAGTACTATCCTTGGGGCTTGGGACCTTCCACAAGTTCCTTGGGTCCTGCCTCTGCTGCGCCATTTTATTGCTCGGTTTTTCGGCCGCCCTTTGGGTGCTTGGGTATTTTGTCTCCCTAGTTTACCTTAGGGTAGGAGACAGTTTGCACTGGTAAGGGGCGCAGGGTACTGCACAGCTGGTTTTCACCATTCGTAATGGCCAGCTCTGTTCCTTTTGGGTACGCTGTCCTCTTGCAGGGTTTTATTTTTATTTTTGTTGTGTTGCCTGGTGAGGGGGGATCTGCCTTGATTGTTGCCCCCATTGTATCTGTCCTGAGTATGGTTTCTCTTCTGGTGGTGCCCCCTACTAGGTCCCCGTGAGTGTACATGTCCCTGGGGTTCAGCTATATTGTTACTTGGTAGTATTAGGTGCCAGTTAGCAGTACCCTGCCTGGGATTTCCTGAGAGTGAGTTCCGTCTAAGTACCCTGGGAAACCCCACATGGGTGTGCAGGTCCAATGGATGTGGCCCCTGAGTCCCCCCTCGCTTTGTGCGAGTTCGAGGGTTGCTCGATCTCCTTGTCTCAGGGTGACTCTATGGTGTCTATGAGTGCCATATATGTTCTCTGTATTCCCTCTATTTCAGCAATCTCTCCTGCTCTGAAGGGGAGAGTGAGTACTGAGCAGTACTCGAGATGTGACAACCCCAGTGACTTGAAGAGTACAACCATTGTGATGGGATCCCTGGATTTGAAAGTTCTCATAATCCATCCTATCATTTTTCTGGCTGACGCAATATTTGCTTGGTTATGCTCCCTAAACGTTAGATCATCGGACATCATTATTCCCAAATCTTTGACATGCTGTCTTTCAGGGACAGGTACAGGTTCCTTCCCTTTCGGCATCGTTGGTTGCTGAGGACTTGCCTCTTGGCTTCGTGGTTGCTAAGGACTTGTGGCCTTTTGGCTTCAGCTTTGCGTTTCTTTTCCCTCCTGGAGCTGTCTTCGAACTGGCTTGAGGAGGATGTGTGGACACTAGGGTCCATTCCTGGATCCGGGGCAAAGGCTTGTGCTGTTCGCTCATGCCTGGCCCTCACGATTTATGAACGTTTCGGGTCGTTTTGGTCAGCCTGCGATGGCATTGGGTTGCCCTCTCCTCCTTCGAGGGGTTCGGGGCTGGCGGGGCAGGCCTCTTCCCCTGTGCTCTGTCGGATCATCTTGAAGTGGGTTTGCTTGGGTATGGTCGAAAAGACGATGTATCTCAGATGGGTTTCCTGTCTGTTCCAAGTCCCGAAACGGAACTGTGCGGACCTGCGGTTCATTCTGGACTTGTCCCGTGTGAACCCCTGGGTTCATTGCCCCTCCTTCCGGATGACCACGCTGTTCCAGGTTGTTGGCTCCTGTTGGCTCCGGGCTCTTGGATGGTGTCCCTGGACCTACAGGACGCTTATTGGCATGTCCCAATTCATCCGGGGTTCAGGGACTGGTTATCTTGAGGTTATCTTGAGATGATTTCAGGGCTTAGCATCCCCGTGGCCCGGTCCTCAACCAGGCCTCCTTTTTGTTAACCCCCCCTCCCCCGAAGCAGCCCGTAGCAGGTGTCCAACTCCCAGGTACCTATTTACTGATAGGTAACAGGGGCATCAGGGTGAAAGAAACGTTTTGCTCATGTGTCTCCACCTCTACCGGGGATTGAACCCGGAACCTCAGGACTATGAATCCAAAGCGCTGTCCACCCAGCTGTCAGGGGACTGGCTCGGTTTTGTTGTGGGGCGTCAGTGTTACCGCTTTCATTGGTCTCCCATTCGGGTTGAACCTGGCACCTCGCGTGTTCACGTGCCTTACCTGGGTCGTGGTGGCCCATCTGCGTTTTTTAGATGTTCGGGTGTTAGCATACCCCGATGACTGGCTGGTCTGGGTTCCCAGCCGGTCCGTTTGTCTGCTAGCCAGCGATTTGATTCTTTCCCAGCTCACCGGGTTCGGGTTCTTGGTGAACTGGAGGAAGTCCCATCTGGTTTCCTCCCAGGTTTGAACTTGGCTGAGTCTTGTGTGGGACTCTTGGACTGCTTCCTTGTCTCTTCCTCCGGAGTCTCTCCTTAGGCTGCGGTCCTGCATGTCCCTGTTTCTGGGGGCTCCCGGGTCACCCGGCGGTTGCTCGAGGGTCTGTGCAGAAGCCTGAACTTTGCGATGATGGTCTACCCACTGGGTCGGGTTTGGCTTCATTGGCTGTTCTGGTTCCTTCGGGGTCGTCCCTTCCGCCTCTTTCGTGATTGGTGGTTTCGGCCCCTGGGGGCCTTGTGTCGGCTGCTGCGTCGCTGGTTTCCTCTTCTGGTTTGTTGGGGTTCAGTGCCTTGGTGCCTGTCGGATGGGGCTTTGTGACCAGTGCTCACCAGGCTGGCTAGGGGCAGTGGGATCCGTCCTTCCATCAGGCCCACAGCACAGTGCGGGATTTTGCAACAGTGTGGTTTGCTCTTTGAAGGATTTGGGTCACCTGCAGATCGACAATCCGGCTCCATTCAGACTGCTCCCCGGTGGTTCATTGCCTGAACCGATGGGGTTCAATGCAGTACTTGGCTCTTTGGCGCTGGTCGCTTCGAGTGACTAGTCTGCTGAGTTCTCGGGGTTTGACTCCCCTGGCGGTTCACATTCGGGGTGTGTCCAACGTTTTGGTGGACGGAATCCTACGTACTGGAGTGAACGATATGGAAGAAAATGCAGAATAGAACCAGTGAAGAGCAGGGGTGCCATAGGCACAATCAGAGAACACTGTATAAACATCAGAGGTCCATGGTTGTTCAACATCCTACTAGCGACTATCAGAAATATTGCCGGAACAACCGTGGACATTTTCAAGGGAAAACTAGACTGTTTTCTCCAAGAAGTATCGAACCAACTGGGCTGTGGTGGGTATGTGGGCCTGCGGGCCGCTCCAAGCAACAGCCTGGTGGACCAAACTCTCACAAGTCTGGCCTCGGGCCGGGCTTGGGGAGTAGAAGAACTCCCAGAACCCCATCAACCAGGTATCAATCAGGTATCAACCAGGCCTGTCTCATTTTGTTGGCTCTGCCAGACATTTGAGCGCCCGTAGGTGGACCTCTTCGCCTTGGTGTGGTCGCGGTGCCTTCCGCTGTATGCGGCACCCTTCTCAGACTGTGAGGCCGTCGGGGTTGATGCCTTTTGGCAGGACTGGTCGAGATGGGGGTTCCTGTACCTCTTTTCCCTGGTTCATCTGTTGCTCCAGGTCATGACTCGCTTGGAGACTTACCAGGGGAGAGTAGTCCTCTTGGCCCCATGGTGGCCGGCCCAGTTTATCCAGTTTGACTCAAGTTTGTCTTCATCTCAGCAGGCTGCAAGGCGGAGGCAGACGGTGAGTGTCACCTTGTGACAAGGGGAAAGAGCAACCTTCAAACTCGCACAAGGTGAGGTGAGACTCAGAGGTCTCCTCCATTGAACCACTGAGCCCCAATGGGGGGTGTCCATGGCCCTTAGGCTGACTGCTAAGGGAAGCCCAGGCACGGTACTGCTAACTGGTTATCCCAGAGCTACCAAGCAAACAATCTAAAAGCTGAACCCTTGCGATGTCTGCAAGCACTGGGACCTAGTGGAGGGCCACCAAAATCCTACAAGTGGTCCTACTGCCACACCAGGCAGACCCTCACCAGGCAAATCAAAACAAAAACAAAAGAAAAACCCCGCAAAAGCACAACGTCTCCAGGTGAACAGAACCGGTGACCATGCGCATATTAGACAGCAGCACAGTACCTCGCGCCCCAGCCAGTGACGAAACTACCTCCAATCCAAGGGCAAACAGGAGTAAGAACCACCCCAGCTGAATCCCAAAGGGCGGGCAATCACCAAGCAGCGACAGAAGCACACAGAGGTAGCTGCTCATGAACGGCTCATGGAAGATATCCCTGAGGCCACAAAGGCAGTACTTACGGGGGCACCTAGGGAAGGTAGCCCTAGGTGCATGTAGCCCCAGTACTCTTGTATTACTTCTGGCTCACACACCACCAAAGCAGAGCAACAACACTGCTAAGCAGCACTGCGCAAAGAGTGGAGCCAGAGCAATCGACCGTCACCAACCACAATAGCCTTTTAAACTGAGGAGAGTTGCGGGCGTCAAGGTCTGGGGAGGGGGAGGGGGGGGGTTGTGCAGACGGATGTGCGGCATTTGTGGTGATGTCATGTTTGTTTCCTTGTTTTTGTTTGGGCAGTTTTGTTTGCTAGTTCGGCTTTTGATTTGTGATTTTAACCAGCAGTAGTTGGTTTCGAAATTCCTACCTTTCTGGGTGCCTGACCTGGTAGATGGCAGATAAAAACTGCTTCCAATTACACAGGGAGTGTCTTTAGGCCATTGCTCCTAGTGCCTGTCTTGAGGGGGGCCCAGGTTCTGGCTCTGGTTCCCAGTAGGCATAGAACTCCTTCGATTGACTGTTGCCACGGTCTAATATATACACATCAGCCCGGTATAGCTCCGGGGAGCCTCCGAGACTCGCCCAGAAAATGGCGTTTCATTACATTTAATGCTGGTTTTTTCATTTCATTCATTGCTTGTTTTTCCCCATTTGATGTGTGAGCAGACTACGTGTCAAGAAACTCAAGGTTGTACGTACTGTGGAAGTAACAACACATGCATAGCAACATACCAGCTGTGTGACGGAGTGCTCAATTGTCCAGATGGAAGTGATGAATCCAGGTGTGATGAGAAGGTAAAGATGGCTTCCTACTTTGTACATATTAAAATGGCTACAAATATTTAACCCAACATATGGGATTAAGGTAGATTATCCTTATTATAATATTCAGTTTCTGAATACCCAGTTATATGGGTATTCAGCACTATTTTGTCACATAACAAATTCAAAGCATTATGTGACAAAGAGTACTTGGAAGACAGGACACCACGAGTATAGCTCTCTTCCTGTAACTACACGTAGGTCATTTCAGATAATACACATACATGTACACTCATACACATACATACACATAGAGTGCTGGGAAGACGGGACACCACGAGCGTAGCTCTCATCCTGTAACTACACTTAGGTAATTACTCTCTCACTTTGCCCACCACACACAAGGTACAAATACATGCAACTATATGGCTTCTGGAATACAAAACAAGTGCTATAGAGGTAGAGACATCAAGTATACCAAAGCTAGAAGATAGAAGAAAAAAATGTAATATGATCACATATGTACAAACTAACAAAAGGAACATAAAAGTATTTGTGTGTACGTCTGATACCATACTACTTGTGAAGGAGGAAATGTATATGTTTACCTCTCAGAATGTTTGGTAATATGTTTATTTGTGATGTGTGTCTATGTATATATTAACACGTTGTACTGAATGGGGTGAGAATAGCTTGAGCTACCTCATCCCTTTGTGTGTATTTTACCTCAATAAACTTATTTCAATTGCAATTTCAATTTCAACAAAAGGAATCAAACAAAATTGACAAAGCAGAATTTTTTAAAAGTACAACTTTGAGAACAAGAGGACATATGTTCAAACTAAGGAAACAGAGCTGCAAAAAAAAAATTAGAAAGTTCACTTTTGCCAATAGAGTAGTAGATGATTGGAACCTAGTTAAGTGAGAAAGTAGTGGAGACTAAAACCATTAGTAGCTTCAAAGTGTTATATGACAAAGAGTACCGAGAAGACAGGAAGGACTCCATGAGCATCCTGTAACTACACTTAGGTTATTTAATTAGGTAATTACACAAAACTGTACAACAAAGATAGGACAAATTTTTAAATCTTGCAACTTCAAGAACAAAAAGCCATACATTGAAGCAAATGAAAGAAGGGTGCCAAGAAAATGTAAAAAATGCTCAATTGCTGCCAAGAAAATGTAAAAAAATGCTCAATTGCGTACAAAGTTTTGGAAGGTTGGAACAAATTAAGTGAGACAGTAGTGGATTACTGACAGAGTAGGAAGATGGATCTTTTATTTCCTTATTAAGAGAACTCAAAGACTAACAGTCAACAAAGTCAAATCAGGATCATCCACCATGAAATGCTCGGTCCTCCCAGGGTACTGTGCTGTGTGCTCCAGTACTTGTTCTTATTCTTGTATCGTATAAAGATATGGACACAAACCTAAGTACAGTACCATATCATCCTTTGCAGATGACACTAGGATTTTTATGAGAATAGACAACATAGAGTACACGGCAAACCTCCAGTCAGATGTAAATCAGGTCGTTGAGTGGGCTACAGATAATAATATGATATTTAATTAAGATAAGTTCCAGCTCCTGCGCTACGGAAAAATGAACATATAAAAATGGAAACCACTTTCAAAACGCAGTCAAATCATGCCACAGAACGAAAAGGCAATGAAAAGGATTTGGGTGTACTCATGTCGGAAGTCCTTACCTCTAAAGAACACAATAAAGTAGCCGTCACAACTGCAAGAAAAATGACAGATTGGATAACAAGAACCTTTCAACCAAGAGATGCTATACCGATGATGATACTCTTCAAGACGCTAGTGCTCTCTAGAGTGGATTACTGTTGCACAATGACAGCCCTTTTCAAAGTTGGAGAAATTGCTGACCTGGAGAGCATGCAGAGAAATTACATTGTTGGAATACTGTAATTTCAAACAATTTATGGTATCAAAGGTATATGCATTAGTTGTTTAGCCATGAGTATCAAATTTATTAATTTAATCATTTAGTGTCTTCGAGGACATGACACATGCTTATGTCACAGAGATTTCTTCATCCCATTAACTTATCAACATAATTTAACTAGGATAATTACCCATAATTATCTGCTTTATAGATATGAATAAATTATAATTAGATGTAAGACATCAACAGAAGACAAATCTTTATAGTTCATATGTAATTTAAATTGTATTCACAACAATGTATGTGGGTAAGTGGAAGAATTTTCCCACAGAATGCTTAAAATTCTCAAACTATATTCTCTTGAATGCAGGTGAGAGAGATACGTAATAATTTACATTTGGAAAATACTAGAGGAACTGGTTCCAAATCTGCATATGGAAATAACACCACATGAAACCTGGAGGCATAGCAGGAAATACAAAGTGGCTATGTTGAGAAGCAGAGGTGCAATAGGTATGCTAAAGGACAATTCTATGAACATCAAAGGCCTAAGACATTTCAACACTCTCCCACTAAACCTACGGGGGCATAACTAGCTGATTTCTCACGGTGTTCAAAAGAGAACTTGTTAAACCCCCTCTAAAGGATTCCTGCCCAACCTTTCTGTGATTCATACATCAGACTGAGCAGTGGCATCTAACAGCCTGTTTGACTAGACTACGAACCAGGAGGCTTGATCAAAGATGAGGCTATGGTCACACTGATTCCTGGAACCATCACAAGATAATCACAGGGTAGGTATGCCAACATCAGCAGTAGTTTCAAAACATCATGTGACAAAGATTATTGGGAAGATGAGACACCACAAGCATAGCTCTTGCCCTGTAACTACACTTTGATAATTACACATTACCTAATGTGTAATTACATGGTACAAATTACAAGATAGAGTAGTACAGGTGTATTTACAAACTCAGTAGAATATTCAAAACTCAAATGCACTTATATTATTGTAATAGTTATTAGTTTAATCATTAAAGATTGCAGGTGATGAGTCACAATAACGTGACTGAAGTATGTTGAGCAGACCACACACTAGAAGTTGAAGGGACGACGACGTTTGGGTCCATCCAGGACCATTCTCAAGTCGATTGTGAATGGTCCAGGACGGACTGAAACGTCATCGTCCCTTCACCTTCTAGTGTGTGATCTGGTCAATAAAAGATTGGCTTCAAAAGTATCAGATAATGGGTAACCGAGTACAATTATTTTGTCTCTCACAGATCTTGCAAGGTTGTAGACCTGAAGAGTATATGTGTGAGCGGACAAGGGACTGCATTCATCAAAGTCTGAAGTGTGACGGAAATGATGACTGTCAGGATCGATCAGACGAGCTGGGCTGTGGTAGGTACCTCAAGTGGTAGGTTAAAAGTAATGTTATCTTTAGTTGTATGTCAGTAGTTCATGCTTGCCTCTTGGGAGTTCTGAGCATTATCTTTAGTTGTATGTCAGTAGTTCATGCTTGCCTCTTGGGAGTTCTGAGCATTATCTTTAGTTGTATGTCAGTAGTTCATGCTTGCCTCTTGGGAGTTCTGAGCATTATCTTTAGTTGTATGTCAGTAGTTCATGCTTGCCTGTTGGGAGTTCTAAGCATTAAACATAAAGTGGTCATGCTTGCCTCTTGGGAGTTCTAAGCATTAAACATAAAGTGGTCATGCTTGCCTCTTGGGAGCTCTAAGCATTAAACATAAAGTATTCACCTAGTTGTGCTTGTGGGGGTTGAGCTCTGCTCTTTCGGCCTGCCTCTCAACTGTCAATCAATCAACTGTTTCTAACTACTAACTAATTATTTTCTTTTTCACATACACATACACACACACCCAGGAAGCAGCCCATAGTAGCTGTCTAACTCCCAGGTACCTATTTACTGCTAGGTAACAGAGGCATCAGGATGAAGGAAACTCTGCCCATTTGTTTTTCCGCTGGTGCTGGGGATCGAACCCCGGTCCTTACGTCCTCGAGTCTAGAGCGCTGTCCACTCAGCTACCAGCCTCCTTCACTTTTGCGTTTTGGGCGAGCAAGCACCGCACCACTCCAAGGTGCGCCTGGCATTCCATGGGAGTGCGCGGTAATACTGAAAAGTGTATACTCTTTTCAACTTTGTCATCTCAATTCTTGTCTTAGGTTTTTTGATTTGGTATCAATGTGTTCGCAATAGAATTCTCTACAGGACTAAATGTTATAAACTCCAAACATCTGGCGTACCACCCGCAACAAACAGAGAAAGGGAGAGCAAGTTACCCGGGAGCGCGCAAGAGCAATAAAATGTGTACACTCTTTTCACCTTGGTCACCTCAAGTCTCGTCCTAGGTCTTTCATTTTGGTATCAATTTGTTCACAATAGAATTCCCTACAGTAGTATATGCATATAATGTAATAAGATAAAGTATAAACCACAATATAAAATGTATAAAAAATAAAAACTTACCAATCCAATGATGTTTGTGGATCATAACATGGGTTGAGCATTAGTTTTATCCACTCCACCTACTCCAGGAAAGATTTTAAACCCATGTTTTATAGATACTCACCTATTTGTACTCACCTATTTGTGCTTGCAGGGTGTGGGGGTTTTCTATTTTGCATTCCCGACTGCAATGCATACGTCTCCAATGTACATGTGGCAGACGCTTCACAAAGCTGTCGGAATCAGCAGAGAAAATATGAAAGCAACCATACAGGGCCTGGGAGCAAGGTCGAGTTAGAGTCCTTGAGGGTCTCTTCTCAGACTAGCCTCACCTGATCCTGGTCCACGTTGATCGTTGGAATCTCCTCAATGCTTAAGACACTTTAAGGGACTCCTAGGGTCCTCATCACATTTATAGTTTAGTGAATATAGGCAACTCGGTGTTGAAGACACTTGGAGCTGAAGGCTTGAGTAAATAGTTGGCAGTATTTAGAAGTGGTTCAACGGAAACACAGCATAAAGCTTAACAGTAGTTTATTTACTAACTTAACCACTAATACAAAGGGTGCTTGATTTACTTTTGATTGGCGTCAGAAAGGCTATGGTTGCATTAGCGAGACTCTTGACGTCTGGCTAAACGACTCGGATCCACTCGTGGAGAAACACCTAACTTAACACAGTTGACAGCCAATCATTAACACGGCATGCAAAGGGATCACAAGAGTTCCAACCGGATATTCGGGTAATGATGATGCGCAATAAACACAATGGCACTGTCAATGGGACAGACAATAAACATGCACAATAATAATATCACACAATACTAAATGTGTGGTGTATGTGAAGCTCACATTCACAGATGAGAGTAATGTCGTGATACCACACAGATAAACACGCATACACCGTCGGGTGTCTTCACCTATATCTGTGTCAGATATGAGAAGGTGGGAACTGTGGTCGATACCTCAGATCAACACAGACAGACACAATATAACAATGACAAGATCTTGTACTTACAGGTAGGCCACCTCTCTTATTCACTCACTCACTTAGGCACATTTATGCAAGAACTCGTAGGTGACCTGACGGCTGGTTTCTCGTTCGGCGATAGGCTTTCCCACAAACCGTATTTGACACGGAGGTACTCGCAGGAGGGCACACTGTATGTCTAACAGACACACGCACACACACTTGATGGCACTGGCGGTGAGTAAGGGTGGTGACGTCACGTAGTACTGTGAGGCAGGGCGGCTCGAGGCTAGGCTAGCTACACGCTCTGGACCGAGTGGCGGCTGGTGGCTGATTATATGATACCATGCAGGTACACTGTGGCAAAAGTCACACACAGATTACTTAGGCAGCGGTACTCCTTATTTCACTCTAGGTCACTCACAACGATCGCAATTTGTCACCAGGGGTTACCTGATACCAGTCTGTTTCGCTCTGGTGATTTGTCACTATGCTTCTAAACAATATAGTCACGATCGCAATTCCGGGCGAGCGTTGGTATATTGAAAAGACGCTGAGTTTAACTTGACGGTGAGGAATAGACAGTGTTCTTCTGTCTATTGGCCGATAAACAAAACAGGACACGTCCTCTATGCACGGGCTCCCTCACGTGAATACCCTGCAAGAGGCTGCCGGGCATCTCGTGGGACACAACACAAGGGATTACAACCTTGACATTGCAGCAAAAGAGCGGAAACCAATCATATTGATCGTTCCCTGATCAGTAGCAGAGGTGATGTCATGAACACGTCACGACCACGTCACAGTTGTTATTCTTCATCGCGCCGGTTGAGGCTGACCCCAGAGGTCAGATCTGTCGCCTCGCTGGCATTCCCTCTCCTCTCTCACGCAGGCACCTCCTGTGTACTCAATGACCCTTGTGGCAAGTATGCTTAACTTCCCTGTATCTACTTCCTGCCTGGACATACGGCGGTCTCCATATTATAAACGTATTCCTGGTTAAGTGGGCATCCTGGGGACATCCAACATGTCAGATTACTATCCAGGGTTAACAGAGATAGGGCTTGTGCACGAAATTGGTGCACTGTGCACTGCAATGAGCCATTCAAGTCAGCTGTGGGATAATCTTGAGAGACCATACTCTCACACAGGGGTTGAGCTCTGGCTCTTTGGTCCCACCTTTCAACTGTCAATCAACTGGTGTACAGGTTCCTGAGCCTACTGGGCTCTATCATATCTACACTTGAAACTGTGTATGGAGTCAGCCTCCACCACATCACTTCCTAATGCATTCCATTTGTCAACTACTCTGACACTAAAAAAGTTCTTTCTAATATTCTTTCTAATATGTCTGTGGCTCATTAGGGCACTCAATTTCCACCTGTGTCCCCCTAGTGCATGTGCCCCTTGTGTTAAATAGCCTGTCTTTGTCTACCCTATCAATTCCTCTGAGAATCTTGTAAGTGGTGATCATAGCCCCCCTAACTCTTCTGTCTTCCAGCGACATGAGGTTTAATTCCTGTAGTCTCTCCTCATAGCTCATACCTATCAGCCCGGGTACTAGTCTGGTGGCAAACCTTTGAACCGTTTCCAGTTTAGTCTTATGCTTGGCTAGATATGGACTCCATGCTGGGGATGCATACTCCAGGATTGGTCAGACGTAGGTGGTATACAAAGTTCTGAATGATTCCTTACACAAGCTTCTAAATGCCTTTCTTATGTTCGCCAACCTGGCATATGCTGCTGATGTTATCCTCTTGATATGGGCTTAAGGGGGTGGGTCTGGTGTGATATCAACCCCCAAGTCTTTCTCTCTCTCTCTCTCTCTCTCTCTCTCTCTCTCTCTCTCTCTCTCTCTCTCTCTCTCTCTCTCTCTCTCTCTCTCTCTCTCTCTCTCTCTCTCTCTCTCTCTCTCTCTCTCTCTCTCTCTCTCTCTCTCTCTCTCTCTCTCTCTCTCTCTCTCTCTCTCTCTCTCTCTCTCTCTCTCTCTCTCTCTCTCTCTCTCTCTCTCTCTCTCTCTCTCTCTCTCTTTAACTCTTGAAGAATTTCATTTCCCAAATGATACCTTGTATCTGGCCTCCAGCTCCCTACACCAATCTTCATTACATTACATTTGCTTGGGTTAAACTCTAACAACCATTTGTTTGACCATTCTTTCAGTTTGTCTAGGTCTTCTTGCAGCCTTAAGCAGTCCTCCTCTGTCTTAATCCTTCTCATAATTTTGGCATCGCCAGCAAACATTGAGAGGAATGAGTCTATACCCTCCGGGAGATCATTTACGTATATCATAAACAGGATAGTTCCGAGTACAGAGCCCTGTGGGACTCCACTAATGTTTTCACGCCAATCTGAGGTCTCCCCTTTCACTGTAACTCTCTGCTTCCTATTGCATAGGTACTCCCTTATCCACTGGAGCACCTTACCAGTTACTCCTGCCTGTCTCTCCAGCTTATGTACCAGCCTCTTATGGGGTACTGTGTCAAAGGCTTTCTGACAGTCCAAAAAAATGCAGTCCACCCATCCTTCTCTTTCTTGCTTAATCTTAGTCACCTGGTCGTAAAATTCTATTAAGCCTGTAAGGCAAGATTTATCCTCCCTGAACCCATGTTGGCAATTTGTCACGAAGTCCCTTGTCTCCAGATGCATTACTAGGTTTTTCTCACGCTCTTCTCCATCACCTTGCAGGGTATACAAGTTAAGGACACTGTCCTGTAGTTCAATGCCTCTTGTCTATCACCCTTTTTGTATATTTGGACCACATTAGCTGTCTTCCATATTTCTGGTAGGTCTCCCGTCTCCAGAGACCTACAATACACTATGGAGAGTGGCAAGCAAAGTGCCTCTGCACACTCTTTCAATACCCATGGTGAGATCCAGTCTGGACCAACAGCCTTTCTCACATCCAGATCCAACGGGTGTCTCGACCTCATCTCTCATAATTTCTAATCCTTCCAAGGCCGCCTGGTTT